TTTTTTTTTTTTTTTTTAGGGGCCCCATGGGCCCGATAGAATGGCCTGGCGGGCCGCGTTTTGCCCACATCTGCACTAGACAGCTGGCTAGCAGGAGTGTGACTAGAAGCCACATCTTCCTTGTCCTGCATGGCAGTTCGCAGCCACTAGGAAACTACTTTATTGCTGTTGCTGTGGTCTTTGTTGTTGCACCATGCTGGGCCCATGAATATGTAATGCATGGTGTGGCGTGGAGCAAAGGTATGGTCCTTGAGGATCTGGGCCAACTTCTCATGATGGAGGACAACAGTTCTCACTGCATCTGACACTGCTGGTGTCCCTGCCCCTTATGTACTGTAGCTTCAGGGATTTAATTTTGGTCCAGATCTGCAACCAGTTCCAATGGTGCCACACATAGATCACCTAGTTCAGCCTTTTGCCCTTTGGTCCTCCCCTGTCCCTAGATTGTGACTCCAGTTTGATGCCTGCACGATGGGGTTCAAGCAGGACATAGGCTGATTCTACAATTCTGGTCGCCAAAGGTAGGTAGGAAATAGCTGGCTTGTACTGTTGACTGTTTGTATTATTGGCTGCTTGCACTGACTGCATAGGGTCGTGCTACTGGGTTCCATCCCCTGGGGAAAGAAGAGTAGTTGGCTTGGTGCCAATACCATTCCACTGGGCAATAGAGTTTGGGGGTGGAAAGTCTGTCTACACAAAGCAGGGGGAGAGGGCAGGTACATCCTAAAATGCTGGAGGACTGGAATTTGGTTGTTTTATCTGTAAAGCATTACTGTAGCATGACCTGGGTAGCACATCTTTTAACACCCGTAGTGGGAGCTTAGCACTAGTTTTCATGTTTTAATACGTGGACTATATGAAAAGCTCTTAGTATAGCCTAAGGATGATGTATAACAATACCCTAATAAGTTGTATAATAATCTGTCCAGGATTGAAACAGCTGGTATTGGCTGGGTACCATTGTGATGGGTCAGTTAACACTTTGAAAGGCCAGATGTCTACTTCAGCTTGGTTTTTATCAATTTCCCTCCCTGCATGCATAAAAATAAAATCTGTGCCAGAAAGTTTAATCTCAAAAGGGTTATTTCCTTTTAAAGATCAAATCACATCTGGACCACATGTTGGTAACCTCTATTTTCTTCATGCAGCTTAATGCTTCTTCTCTCAGCATGGTTTAGAATAGCAACATTACATGATAAAAACATAGCATTTCCATTGTTGCTTGGTAAGCTGTAAATGATAAAAGTACAAAATTGAGAAAATTGTAATGTCATTTTATCATTATTGGCATAGACAGAATCTACTTTTTAAGAACTTCAGGTGTAATTTTTGTGTTTATTTAGCATACTTGCGCTACAACTCATGCAGAGAAATACCAAAGTAAATGAATGCCTGTCAGAACCCTAAAGAAGTAGAAATTGGGGAGGATATATTTGTTAACCTCATCAATGGATCTCAGTAGAGGCCAAAAAGAAATGTAAAGGAAAGTTTTGTAGAGCAGGAAAGGGATAAAAGAAACACAAGGCATCCTGGCAAAAGAGTATATGCAGGAAAGGCTGGTGGACATGATGTGGATGTAAACCAATTTGCTCTAGAAAAATGAAGTGCTCTTGCTACAATCATGTCCAGCAATCTACCCTAACTAAAACAGCCTGAGATCAGAAAATACAACCTGCACCACTAAGTCCAGTTGCAGGCAACCAGGTGTTTAGACATCTGCAGAAACTGATCTTTTATGCATGCCACAGTCCCGAAGAACCACCTAACAAGGACGGAGTGGGGGAAATTAGGTTATTGCTCCCCACCCCCCTGCCCAGTTACCCCCAGAAATGCAATGTCCCATAGGAAAAGAACTGGAAAGAAAAGGTAAGATCATAGGAAAATAGATATGGAAGGGACCTCACTAGTCTAGCACCCCTGGTCAAAGCAGGATCATCCTTCGCTAAACAATCCCAGTCATGTGTCTGTCTAAACTGCTTTTGAAAATGTCCATGGATGGAATTTCTACCTTTTAGGCAGCCTGTTCTAACACTTTGGTAATTCTCAAAGACACCATTGCTCCTAGTCTCATTCCCCTCTTCTTGTCTTCTCCAGACTAAATAATCCTAATTCTTTCAGTTTTTCCTTGTAAATCGTACTTCTCTGCCCTCTAATCATTTTTGTCACTTTTCTACTGGACTCAAATCTCTCCGCACCTTTATTGAAGTGTGGGGCCCAAAACTAGATAAGAGTATTCCAGGTGAGGTCTCACCAATGCCAAATAGAGCAGAAGAATCACTTCCCTTGATTTGCAAGAGATGCTGCTGTTAATACAAACCATTATACGGTTTGCCTTTTCGCAACAAGCACATAGTTGACTCATTCAGGTTATGGTCCGTTGTAACCCATGGGTTCCCTGCAATTGCCAATCATTTCCCAGGTTGTATGTTTTTCAATCCAATGTAATTATTCAGTCACATGTCATTATTCTGTCCCAAGTACAGGGTGTTGCTTTTGTCTTTGTTCACTATAATTGATTTCAGACCATTCCAGATTCTAGCCATGCCCTCCAAAGTCTCTGCAACTCCACCCAACTCGGTATCAGCTGCAAATTTGCTAAGCTTGCACTCCTGTCATTCAGATTATTAACAAAAATGTTAAATAATACTGGACCCAGGACAGACCCCTAGCCATCTCCACTTGATACCTCCTCTACCAGACAAGATCTGTCCTACAGTCTGTAGAGGGCATGGTCTGTTGAGAGCCCTCTTTCTTCTCCCAGCTGAAAATGACAAGCACTGTCCTTATTCTTCCATCCCTTCAAAAGAACAGTTGAGATTGCATTTCCCGTGCATTCTGCGCTGTGTGTCTATACACGGTCATACCCAGGTTTAGGTATTTCCACTTGTTGATTTTGTTAAAATTACACTTGGCTGAAAAACATCAGTTTTTCAGCTCACCCTAATAGCAGCTATTCCTAATTAAATTGTTACAAAAAGCATGTTCATGTCATTCATTCAATTAATTTTCTTCTATACTTTGGTCTCAGAATGGGAACACAGTGCTTTTCTGACCAGTTGCATCATAGGTGGACACCTCTGAGGCCCAGGGTCTCTCCACTTCCACCTCCGCGACTTCTATTAGTGAGGTTTTTCTCTCTTTCTGTTGATGAATTCTGAGACATGCTAATAGTAGCCTGCGAGTCCAATCCGGGGCCCCTAAACAATCTGTCTTAATCCCCTGTGCATGGCCAAGCTTAATAAGATCATAAATCCAGGGGAGCTGTACCTTCCTTTAAAACATCAGCATGACATTTGATTTATTAGCACCAAGCTGGTTAGTTACTGAGTAGTATCAATTGAGAATGGTGAGCTACCAGATGGCAACAGAGACATATATCACACGGAGAGCAATTCCTGTATTGGCATTTCAGCAGTGCCTCGTTAGGGTGAGCTCTGCACAGATTTTAAGAGTAGCTGTTACTATGGTGAAGTTTTAATACCATTACTAATCATCCTGATTCTACGGCACCCTATCTTGTTCACCAGCTGGGGTTAGTTGCCTGAGCCCAAAAAGCCATGTTTTTGTTAGTAAAGTGCTAGAAGAGCTGCTGCTTCTTCCAGCAGTATCTGTTCTGTGTCATGCTCGTCATCCCAGTGCTTGATGGCTTGTCTCGCCTCGTTCAAAACTATCTATGTGTATGAATGTCAACACATCTGGAACACCATATTCTTATTAACCAGAGTCAGGATTACAGTGCTTCTTCAGACAACAGTCTGGAAATGGCACTGTCCTGCTAAAAACCTGATGAATTATGGGATACTAGGAAAGAATACCTGAGAATTTGATCACCAATTCAGTAGATTTTGTTAGATATCCTATAATGGATTGAGTAATTGCAGCTTGCATGGAGCCTAGTGGCAGATCGTTACATCATGGTATGCAGAGCTGTGTGGATAAGAAACAAGTACATGCCTAATGGTTATTGTGGCAGGTTGGACTTGGGAGACGTGGGTTCAGTTCTTTGCTATGTCAAGCTTACACAACCTAGAAAGTCAGTTACAGTATTTAGGAGGCTATGTCATTGAGTAAATATTTATGTGCACATCTTTTCTCTGGGCATTTTCACATCCTGACCCATCAATTGGATACTTTTTGCTTTGGCTGCCCAGCCCTTCTCCTTTCTCTCCTGTCTCCCCCACCCCCCTCACTGACAAGTAAAGGTTGTTCTTTGCTTCTGTGCTCTTCAGTTCCTCTGTCACCTAGCCATGAGCGTTTAGTATCAGTGTGCTTAGTGGGCCTCAATATTATTCAAAGCCTTTATTCTGGTTTCTTTAATCTATTCCAGAGTTGTTCGGCCGGCAGCCCGTGGGCTGCATGCAGCCCACACGGGGTTACATGCTGGCCCCCAGGCTCTCGCCCAGCCACTACTTGCCCTGGCTGTTTCTGTAGCTGAGGTCTTTAGGCTCCCCCTTCCTCCAGCTTTCCCTTACCTATCTTGGGGGCAGGGCAGTACAGTGTGGCACTGCCTGCAATTCTGGGGAAGATGAGCCTAGGGCATCTGAGAGAGGCAGTTCAGTGGAGGAGTTGAGCGTGAGGTGTGGCACCTGGGTGTGTAATGCAGTGCAGTGGGGGGCAGGAGCCACGAGGCATGTGCACAGCAGGGGGAGATCTAGGGCATGTGTATAGCAGGAGAACGTGTACAGCAGGGGCATTGGCTGGGGAACTGAGAGAGGCAAGAGTGCCTGGGCACAGTCCAGTGGTGGGACAGTCTGATTGCCCCCACTCCATCCTTGTTAGGTGGTACTTTTGTGGAGACAGCTTCAAGAGGCTGAACTTGACAACTGAAATGGTCCCCTAGGCCTGTAAGGCCTAGAGCAGCCTTGACATAAGTAGGCTAAGAGTGCATTCATGGAATTATGCTATTGTATGACCTGCTCCCTACAGAGAAAAGGGTCTGAAGATAAACATGGTTGTTATGGATAAAAGGGTTTGTTATGGTGCATTCCACCCATATGTGACGCAAATGGCTCCTAGTACCAAGGAGAGAAAAACAACAAAAAAGACAAACCCCAAGTTGTTGATGAAAAACAGAAAATTGGCCTAATTTGGTAGCTACATGACTAAAGGACTAAATATTACTCCCCCCTGCGCTTTTCTCTTTCTCTCCTTCTCCTCCCCTTTCCTTCCTGTCCCCTCCTCCAGTCCCTTCCTGTTACCCTGACGATGTCTGAGAACTGAAGACATCTGATCTCCCTTCAAGGAACCAGAGCCCACTTTGAGATGCCTGGCCAGCACTCAATGTGGGTAGTATTGGGACTGGTAATATACAATTGCTTGCTAAGGCTGTATCTTGTAAAGACTACTGAAACTGCCAAGATTACATCTGTATGTGTGCTTGGAGTTTTTATTTCATAATGCTCAATAAAACTGATTTATTAAAGAGATAACTGAGCTCTCATTTGGAGAGATAAATGGGCTCTTGATTGGAGAAAACTGAAGCATACTTTAAACAATGCCAATCCTGGACTTTGCTTCCTTCCCATTTGGGAGGAGAACCAGATACTCCCTGGTTCTTAGGACAACACTTGTTGCCCATTAGCTGTTCAGAAGGGCTTTGCACAACCACCTTCCCACAGCCTAGTATATATTCTGTCCCAGAGTTTCCCACACTTTCTTATTGCGTACTCCTTTCCAGATTTACCAGCTGCCTGCTTACTTCTACCAGCATACGGTTCATATTTTAACCCCTTAAATGCCAATTATATGAAAGTTAAATCTGCTATTACACAATTTCTACATACCCTCCAGAGATATCTTATGTACCCCCAGGGGTATGTGTACAGCTTGGAAACCCTGTTCTATCCCAACTTAAACCATCCTATGTTACCTGTTTATTCCATGATGGAGACAGTCAACCTTGTCTGGTATACCACACTTCAGCTCCCCTAACAGGTAAGTGGATGGAGATCGCCTGCTCCTTCTTTATTAACAATGGTAACTAATAAGAAGGCTGTTATCATACCATCCCTGCAGTGGTGGGGATTGGGTGGGGGGTGGGAATTGTCATCTTCCTTTTTAGGATGTATACCTTTTTAAAAGTCTCTCTAGCTATTTGTTTCTATGGACAAAAGATTTGTGTGTGAAGTGGTAGCAACCCAGAGACTGTCCAATTGGAAATCACGCTGCATGGAACTTGTTATGAAACTTCCAAGGTAGAGTGAGGTGGTTCAGCAGGCTGTAGTGAAACTAGGTCTTGGTTATCCTGTGGGGAAGGCCTCAACCAAGACTTGAACATGGTACACTGAAGCTTCTTCACTGTGACCAGGACAGAATCAGAAACAGAATTAATTCTCTGAGCATGGGATCCTTATTCTCAGGTCACAGAGCAAGCAGGAAAACTGAATGTTAGGGAAAGGCAAAGACTGTAGTAGTCTGGAGGAAGAAGCAAGGGTTGTGATCAGAGGGTCGAGAAATATGTAATTCATCCAAAAGCTGTTTTACTAGCGAGGTTTTAGCTTCAATGAAAGGTGCTCACTCCTGTAGCTGTTCTGCTACCAGTGAGTCACTTGTCTCCAGGGATTCTAATGGACTTCATTCTGTATTTGAGTAAAACACCTCAAAAAATAAGTAGTTGAAATAAAGAAGGATATGCAATAACACTCTCTTGCTGTCCTAGGGAAAAGTTTAGTCTTTCTCCAAAGTAAGTTATAATTAACCAACACTCAAGAAAACCTTTGCAGTACTAATAGATAAAGGGTGCAATAACCCATTCCCACATATTAGAACAATAAAAACTAGTGTGGAGAGAGAGACAGGTACTTTATTATGGAAACAAGATTCTTTGTGACATGAAAAGTAGCAGTATACAAGTGATATTAGACCTGAGAAGCCTTAGAGACTTCAAAAGGAGATACTAAAACAGAAAAGAGGTTGAAGAAGTGCAGTTCATAGGCTTGTTTGCAAAAAGTGGTTTGCAAATTCCCTTTGAGAATCAGGCCTGAGAGATTGGAGACAGGTGGTGTTCTGTTCTTGATTTTGATACATTTTTGGTGTGTGCTCATTCTGGTTCACAGTTGTTGCTTGGTGTCTCCTACGTATTTTCTGTCAGGGCACTTGTTGCCCTGATGGAAAGAGGTATTGTATTGTGAAGATATCTCCATACTGGACATATTGTTGGCAGGTTTTGCAGGTTTTGTCATGGCATAGCTTGGATCCATTCGGTGTGTTTTGGGCTGTAAGAAGTTGGCTTCTGGTGATGAGGTTAGCGAGGTTCAGTGCTTGTTTGAATTTACAACCACTTTTCACAGGTGGGCCTATGAGCTGCACTTCATCAACCTCCTAGGTACAGAAACTCACGGACTCAATACAGACATTGGAATTCTGACATTAAGCCTGCCAGACATCTGACTCCCCAGGTACCCAGTCAGCTGATTGGAAGGAGGCAGGGCCCTGGGCACATCTAAGCCCCAGGGCTGAGGCTGGCAGGGAGAGTTCTCTGGCAGCTGCTGGAGAAGAGGCTCCTGCAGGAAAAGAAAGGAAGGTGGTGTGATGGTTTGGCTGCCTGCAATGCTGCTGGTGCTACTGTTTTGCTTACTTACCTGCTGTTGTTTAAAGTGGTGGACCGCACTGAGACTGTAGGGGAGGAGGAGGCCACATTGGGGCACACTAACGTGGCATGTAGAGGCCCCAGCACCAGTGAGGGCTCATCTTAACACACACACACACAGTCACACATGTCACGAGTTTTGCTTGTCAGCAGCTTGAGGTGCAGTTTCCCAGAAACCCCTGCAGCTGACTCCTTGAAACTTGACAGGCTTTGTGGCCTCAGCAGGGGCTACCAATCCTGCTGTCTTCATTCAAATCAGGTAAGAAATGACAAAGTTATAGGCGGTTTTGTTATTCCCCATTATAACCTACGGGCGAAACCGTTTTGACAAAACTAAATGGAACAGTGCTTTGAAATGAAACATCGAAATGACACACTATCCCTTTGAAACAGCAAAATGGAAGTCTAAATGAAATGGTCATGTTTCGCACAACCTTAGTAATTATATAACCATGGCCTCAGCATGAGGCCACAGGTTGGCTGTGACCCACATGGAACCCTGTT